GGGACTGACGCTATGGAAAAGAAGAAGAAAGTGCCAAGTAATGCAGCATTGAAGAAAAACCAAGAAAAACGGCGAAAACGTGGTAAAAGTACTGACTTTAAGCATATTATGAGCCTCAGCGAAGAAACACTGAGAGTAGGAAAGAGAAACAAACGATGTTATGGTACGCAAATCGTTGAGACCCCACCGCTATACAACGATGGTAAAATGAAATGATAAATGTGAAGAATCGTTCTGAAGGCGAGTAGCATGTACTTCGCCAGAACCCTAACGTCATTATCAAGCACTTATCAGTCGCGAAGGTGGGACATCTTTTCCAATTGCAGTTCGCTAGAGGAAGGGCTTTCGCATGCTGGATGATCCCGACTCTATCATTTAGGTGCCCTTAACTCCGATGGCGGCCCTTCCCATGCGAAGTGGATGGGTCTGCAGCTGCAGGAGGGTGCCGATTTCCCCCTGAAAAGTGCAAGAGAACAGCGCTGTAGGATAGTGGTACCCGAGTGCCGTCTCCATACTCCGCCCGGCCATCTTGACCGTGCAGCATTTGCGTCGATACCAAGGTCCGCTGCGAAACGTACACTCAGTGGTGGAGAACAATCACAAGTAACAGGGCACAGACAAGTAGCGCGTTGGCTATAGTTAAGCGTGTGCTTGGCGGTCTTGCATCGCGAGCGGGGATAGACACGGCACTTGAGAATTACTACCTCCAGCCCCGTCCCCATGCACTTCTGAGCGGAATGATCTGTGCGGAAAGGGGTGAAGTTTGTCTTCAGGAGAGCACGGGCTGAGGCATGTTACAGCTAATCTAAGCTGCTCCCTCAAATTTTTTTCTGGACTGCTCATCCCTTTATTAATCTGAACAACGCACGTCCACTCTATCCCAGTTCAAGAGGTAAATGATGGTCTCATTTAGCGCGTTTTGACCAACCAACCAAACCGCCAACTAATTTGGGAAGCCCTTCGACGTCAGCAAGTTCCAGAAGCGCTGGTAAATGCCGTTCAGCTGACCTACCGCCATTCCACAACATGTATCCGGACGCCTGTAGGAGACACTCCACAATTCCCGGTTACCGTAGGTGTACACCAAGGATCGGCCCTTTCGCCGCTGCTGTTCATTCTATGTTTGGACTATGCGACAAGGAAGATTAGGAAAGAGCCACCTTTGACGCTGGGTTATGCTGATGACGTGCTGGATCGGTCCTAAAAACAAGTTGGAAAGGCGCGCCAACCGATGGAAGAAGGAACTCGCTGCACATGGACTCAAACTGAACATCAACAAAACAGAGTACATGTGCACTGCCACAGTGACCTCTCCAATTGTGATTGATGGCACGCCTCTGACCATAGCTACAAAATTCCCTTACCTCGGGTCTACGCTAGCGGCGGATGGAGATGCCAAGGTCGATACGTATCACCTGTATCACCTGTGCTCCCGTTGATCATCGAGTTCCTCGAGCGGGCGCCAGTAACGTCTCCATTCGTCCCTGCAACGTGCAAGAGTTGCCCAATGAACTCTCTCAGCTCGAGGGACACGATGAACTTCATACCATTCGTTCAGAGCTTTCACGAAGAAGTCTGACCATCGCGTAGGCGGTCGTCCAGGCGCGGGGACAGTATCAAGAATAAACGCGGCATGGAACAAGTGGAGGACTGTCACTGGCATTCTCTGTGATAAGAGAATGCCAATTCACCTGAAGTCCAAGATCTACACTTCAGTCGTAAGACCAGTCGCCACCTATGGATCGGAGACCAAGCAGATGACGGCCGTGGAGACAAGAGCCTATGGTGTCATGGAGATGAAAATGCTGCGATGGAGCTTGGGACACACACGGCTCGAACGAATTCGAAATGAAACCATTCGTAGTAGGATCAAAGTCCAGCCGATTGTCAACTTTCTTGCCGCATCTCGTCTGCGCTGGTATGGTCATGTTCAACGAAGACCTCCTGAGGCCATATGCAAGTCTGACAGGATCGTTTTCGCCGGCAAACGTCCAAATAGCCGACCTAGATTGCGATGGATAGACAACCTGAAGAGGGACATGAATGCTGCTGGACATGAATGCTGCTGGTCTGTCCGCAGCCGACGTCTGGAACAGGGATCATTGGAAAGCCTTGGTGAAAAAAGCGTACCCGACAACGTTGGACAAGAACGCTAGGAAGAAGAGAAGAGAAGATTGAGCG